ATAGAGAGAGAGAGATATATAGATAGATAGATATATAGATAGATAGATAGAGAGAGAGAGAGAGAGAGAGAGAGAGAGATGGATGGACGGACGGACGGACGGACAGACAGACAGACAGACAGACAGACAGACAGACAGACAGACAGACAGACAGACAGACAGACAGACAGACAGACAGACAGACAGATAGATAGATAGATAGATAGATAGATAGATAGATAGATAGATAGATAGATACATAGATAGATAGATAGATAGTAGATAGTATTAGTAGATTAGTAGGTAATTATTGTTGCTGTGTATGGTGTTGTTGATTGCAATTGCTTTATACATCAATTATACCATTGTTAACCATTGTTATATATATTTATATATATAGGTATTGTCAAGAAAGGTTGAGCTCAGTATCCAAAGGTCATAAACCGAGTGCATCATAGCAGGCTATAAAAATATAGTTCCGCAGTTTGGCTAAAAGAAAGGGGAACATATGTCGAAATGTGTTACAAAAACATGTTGAGACATGTCTCTGATCCAGGGATGTTCAAAAGGTCAAAAAGTGTTTTACCAAAACATAAGATTAGGGGAAAGAATACAGTGATTTATATAATGAAGCATAAAAAGAATGTGTGATTTCTTGAAATAAAAAAATCATTTATACTTTTTCGAATATATTTTTGAATATATCTGCAGGTAACGCAAGATAGGGAAAGTGTCTGAATAAGACTAAAAACTTGCAGCTGTGGATGGTTTCTGAGCTTCTGCTGTCAACACAAGGTTATGACCCAGATTTGTGTCTATGCATGAAAAAGCATTGGTCCACAACCAAGCATTTGCCTGAATAAAAGATAAATATATACATGCTTGTATGCGATAATCACTGTAAGCTAAGCATATTTATTTGAAACGGATTTGTTACCAAAGACATTGCATTCACAACAGAGGAAAGCAGAGATTGTCACCGGGGATCGCAGCTACATCATTAAATGACAATAAAATTCTGGAATTATGGCAATGTCTCTGTCATTGGTGTGGAACCCCAGTGCCCACCTCCTGGGCAAGTTCGAATCCCGGTTAGGGCGGTTAATACCTTCCAGTGGACTCACCACCTGCAGGAAGGTTTGGGGGGTTGGTATGGTGATTTGGGTGGAGACTGTTGGCCCCGCGACCCGGTAACAGATAAGCGGATGAAAATGGATGGATGGATGGATGTTATTGAATTATGTGACCACTGTATTAGATAGATAGATACCGTAATTTCCAGACTACAAGCGACTACTTGGCTGCATGCGAAGAACAACCTTTACTCAAGTCTGCCAGTGGATCATGACAGCACAGAGCATAGAGTCAAAAACTCCACTATCATCAATGTCTTTCGAAAGGCTGGACTGCCGCGCAAAGAAGACAACGACAAGTGCAAATTTAGCCTCGAGACAAAACATGACATTGAGAGCAATTTTGAGGCTGTTCAATTCTGACACTAAAAAAAGATCACTTTAGTGGTTTTAGTGCACAGGAGGAACTAAAAAAAGATAACTTTAGTGGTTTTAGTGCACAGGAGGAAGATGAAAATAGTGATCGCTGACTTTTCTGGTAGGCTACTGTGTGTTATACTAGTCGCCAATGTCTCTCTGTGAATGGCTGTGTGAGTATATGTGGGTGGGGCGGGCGAGAGAGAGAGAGAACAGTAGCTAAAGTTGAGAGCAGTTTGAGGCCGGTCATGTTGAAGCGTGAGTTGGTTGTACAGGAGCTGTTTATGTTCTGTTGTGCTCAGTGTGGCTGATAATAAAGATCCCAACTTCCCTGTTTTCCGTTTAAGGAGAGAAACTGAAAACAAAAACAAGCATATGGTCACCCTATTTCCATTAGGATTTTGGATGTAAGTAACGGAATTATATTTTGTTAGGATTATTACATTGTTAGAGAGAAACTAATGTCCAGTCTTGAGAAGTAAAAAAATATATGGCCAGTACCCTCATTTAACCTCACATTTTGATTCTCCAGTTGCTTCCGCTGACCACAGCCTTCCACAACCGCAGAAATTCACAGATAAACCATATCAGACATGTGTTCAGGACTAAAAAAGCCACTCGAATAAGAGGTTATGCATCTCGTAGAAAACTCTGGCCCAGAAGTATAGATCCACACTCCTGAGAATATTTTTTTTTAATTGCTAATGGATGGTAAACCCACTAATGGGCTTTGGATGGAATTATATTGTGATCGTAATTCATCCAAGTAACCAGCCATTGCAAACAACAAGAAAATACAGGCAACTTGAGTAAAAGAAAATGGAGTGAGAAACAAGGCAGCAGCCGCAGGAACACCCTGCTGGAATTTGTAATTCGACTGAGGGAATGAAGGGATGTGAAATCATGAAACCACATCTAAACATGGACATATATCACATTCAGAGTGAAAAAAAGGAAACAGATAGCTAGAGAGAGAGTGAGTGTGTGAGAGAGAGAGAGATTGAGAGGGAGAGAAAGGGAGAGACCTTAGAACTTTAACTTGTCCTTTAATAGCCATATAATCAATTATATTAGATCATTTTCAATGACTTTACAATAAAAAAAAACAACCTCCAAACAGAGCATGCGCACACAAACACACCCAACAGAACAACTACAGTGAATGTCACTCTGCTCTCAGAGGTTAATGGTGAGGGAGTGATCTAAAGCACTACATGAAATGCCCCCATACCCCCTTAAGTTGGAGACCATTTTATAATAAACAAATTCCACCCTCGGCCGAGCTCTAGCCAATCCCCTGAACATGGCTGCAGCATCAGTTGACCAAGAGCCCTTCGCCTGGATTTTCCTGCTCGACCAGAAGCTCATTTTAGCCTGTCCATCCATCCATCCATCCATCCATCCATCCATTTTCATCCGCTTATCTGTTACCGGGTCGTGGGGGCAGCAGTCTCCACCCAAATCACATTGCACCATACCAACCCCCCAAACAGGTGGTGAGTCCACTGGAAGGTACCAACCGCCCAAACCGGGATTCGAACTTGCCCAGGAGGTGAACCCTGGGGTTCCACACCAATGACAGAGACATTGCCTCTGGGCCAAAGCGCCACCATTTTAGCCTGTCCTACCAGGAAAATGAGCAGCACAAGGCGGCTACGTAGTGTTGCTATATACCAATGCCCTAGGATGAACGGACAGTCATCCAGAGTGTTTCCGAGGCCACTTGGAAAATACTGCAGCGCATCGAACGAAAGGACTTAATCTGGAGCATCTGAGCCACAGCTGCTGTAGAGTCCTCCTGGTGACAGAAGGAGCAGAGGATCTAAAGGTCCCACATGTCTGTTTGTAGCAACGGCCCCCATGTATATCTCCCTCCGCTGTCGATCTGCAGTACGCTTCTCTATGGGCAAGACCTCCAGCCGCCTTTGGGAGAGGAACCTGGAGCGAACACACCCGACCACCTCGACTCACCGGACACCGGCCAGTGATGTCCTGTTGGGAACCTTCATAGAGACCGTGTACAGATTTTCCACTGAGGTCCTGTAGTGCTGGTGTTCTGAAGCTCAGAAGGGCTCTATCCTCCTCTGCCTGCACCTCCACTGCAGAGCAGATGGTCACAGACGGGAAAATTGGACCTACCTTTGGGTGATCCTCTGCAGATCCTCCGCCCCCAGTGCTCTCCCGAAAGCCCCCGGGGACCTCACTGTTCACATCCTAGCATCACACCTGCCTCCTCTTTTCCACTGTCCTGTTCTCAAGTTCTTTATTTTCGTGATTTCCTGCTCTGACAAGGAGCCTCTGTACGCTGGTGGAACAGTCCTTTCTGATCTTCAAAACTGTTCTCCAGGCCCGGGGGAACAGACTGGTAGAAGGCTGAGGTCATAAAGTCCATGCCGGAGGAGAATTCCAGGTGAAACAGGTGGTTTGTCATACTTCAGGTTCATGATGTTGTGGTAAAACCGTTGATGTTTCACCCAGGGAGTGTTCCTTACACAACAGATGCTGAGCAGTCTAGAGCCAGAAAGCTTTGACTCAGGCCAAGGCCTGATTGGCCTGATTGGCCTTGGCCTCCTTCCAACACAGGGAGGAACAGGATGGCAGGTTTGGTCCAGTGATAGCCTCCCCCCAAAAAAGTTTACCAGTCTCTTCTGCACTTCTTTGAGAAGGTCCCCTGGAGGCTCCACAACTCCACAGCTTTCCCCCTGGGGCTGGCCCCGGTCTATCTAGACCAGGGGTGTCAAACCCATTTTCACCAGGGGCCACATCAGCAATACAGTTCCTCTAGCAGGGCCCGTTGTACATGAAAGACTGTATAGATAAGGGGTCCCCAACCGGAGCATTACCAGGTCATTTGGTACTGGGCCACAGTGGGACACTTCGTGAAAAAAATGTACCGGTACTTAATTTTTATATCCATTTACTTGTTGATGTTTTATTTTGAAAATGTATTGATCCTTCAATGCACAGCATCTTGTTTCTGGTCTCTAGTACCGGGTGGAACAAAAAAGGTCAGGTAAGGACCGCTGGTATGGATGTAATTACTCCATAACAGACCAATATATATATATTTCTGCAATTGATAATTATTTATTCAAGTTAAAAATATTGTTCATTGTTGTGTAATAAAAAAAACTAATCTTTATTAACCTACATAATTCTATATTATCTGTTAGTTCCCAGCAAAGAATGTTTGGCTTGCAGCCAGGAGAACCTGCTCCAGAACCGCATATTTGCCACGATTCTAACCTCGTGTCTGAGAGGCAGAGAGGCGAGAGGTCGCCATTCTCACACGAAAGGTTACCTGCCGACTCTCTTTACAACTCCTCAAACTCACAAACAAACAGAAAAACTGTGGCGTTAAACTCCTATTACAGTACCTTTCACCCCAGAAAGTGTAAAAAACTGGAAAAAAAAACGGTGTCTATCGACTTTTCTCACTCATTTTGCAAACATCCGCACACATACTCACTCAAAGTGAGAGAAAGGGAGAAAGAGAGAGGGGTGGGGCGTGAGTATGCGTATGTCTGTGTGTCTATATGTTTCAACTCTCACCTGGCCCACAGACTATGTGGAGGGAACAGGGCCTGGGCCAGCAGACTCTGGTACAGGTAGAGACAAACCATGTGTCCAGCTGTGAAGAAGCCCACCATCACAAACACTGCATTGAAACCCAGGTGACTGATGGGAAGATGGTACGCCCACCAGGTGCACACTCCGATGAAAAGCAGAAAGTAAACGGAGGAGAAGGCAGAGGGCAGTGTGATGCCTGCAAGGAAAAAAGTTGAAGACAACCTTTGGTTAGTCAAGTTGGTCTTAGTGCAAGGGTTGTTAAACTCACGATTGGTTCAAGGGCCACGTACAGCCTGGACCAGTACAATCAAAATATATTACCTATGAATCAGAGGTGGGACCAAGTCATTGCTTTGCAAGTCACAAGTAAGTCTCAAGTCTTTGCACTCAAGTTCGAGTCAAATGTCAAGTCAAGACAGGCAAAGTCAGAGTCGAGTCCAAGTCAAGACTGAAAAGTGTCAAGTCAAGTCTCAAGTCCTGCCGTTTCTGTTTTGAGTCCTTTCTAGTCCTTTTCAAACAAAATAACAATATATTTACACAGATCACTTTGGGTTTTGGAGAAAGTATCGAGTCTTGTCGAGTCAAAGGGCTCGAGTCCAAGTGAAGTCACGAGTCACTGATGTTAAAGTCCAAGTCGAGTGGCAAGTCTCTTTACATTTTGTCAAGTCGAGTCTAAAGTCATCAAATTGATGACTCGAGTCTGACTCGAGTCCAAGTCATGCGACTCGAGTCCACACCTCTGCCTATGAATTACATTAAGAGAGATGAAATCATGACTACACTAGTAGTTGGCAACAACTGCTCTAAATCATTTGTGTACTTTGCATCATGACCTGCCAAAAATAAAGACGTTAGCATGTATTGTTAGTACATAAACAACCACCAAATTCAATTCATAATTGTCAAATCCCCTAATTGTGATCAATTATTTACCCTATATTTCAAAACTGAATTATTTTACCGTGAGGGTTCTCCTAAATATCCTGTTATCAGATTTCATCCTCTTACGTTTGTGATAGATGTGGTTCGGCCGATAGTTCTTGACACGTGTGCAGTCAAGCATTAGACCAATAAACTTGTATGAATCTGAAATGAAAGCGTACCAGCCAAAGCCAACAGGCCAACAGCCAGGATTCTCCCCAGGTCCCGCAGAACTTTTTGAGCAATGACTTTCAGACGCTCCGCCATCTGTTTGGCTCTGGTTGCTGTGGAAACCTCCTCATCGGGGTCAGTAGGTAGTGACCTCTCTTCATCATCATCATCATCATCCTCTCCCGATATCTCCTCCGCCTCTGCACACTCGTCGTCGTCATTGTCTTCATCATCTGAGGTTTTGTCTGTGGAATCATCTTCTAGCTAAGATTCAAAATGCAAAAAAAAGAAATTAGCGTAAAGTGGTAAAAACCTTTTTTCCAGTATTGAAAAAAAGTGTTTGCCAAGGATTTCAATGCCTAAATATTTCTTTCCATTCACAAGTGCCCAACTCTGTTAGATTTCACCCTTGTGTTTGAATGAATGCATTTACTATAAAAAATAAGTTGCTTTCTGCAATAAACTGTACGAATCCTTTTGATGGCTGAATCTTTGGGAAAATTACAAATCAAATCCTTGAATACGTCAGAACTGCCACCACTGTATGCACAGTGCTGAGTAATAGCAGCGAAACAGCCGTGATGTGCAGCAGCAGGTGGTAAGGACGTAATGGTTCTAAATTCAGAGGAAGAATGTGATGCCCCCTTTTGCCCCCCCCCCCCCACACGAGATCCTCATGCGTAAGTAACAGTTCAAACAGAGGACAGCGGGCCCACTTGAATACTCCTAATAATTATAAAGAATTCATGTTACATTTCTTGGGTCCTGCATGCTGCGCAATAGATCCCTCTTTTTTGAATTTGTCCTTCCCTAATCCATATGTGAGAATTCACTGTGGCATTTTGCCATGCCCAACACTAACAACAGCAAACACAAGAAATGACATTCTGATACCTCTTAATAGTTTTGCCTCAGTCAATACCGGGTGCTTGATAAGTTCAGGGGGGTGGGTAGTTATTTAAGTAGAGCGGAACCTCCAGATACGAACTTAATCTGTTCCACGACTGAGCTTGTAACACAAGGTGGCTCGTATCTCAAATCATTTTTTCCCCATAAAAAAATAACAGAAAAAAAATTCATCCGTTCCAGCTCGTTCCAACTCCATTATTAGTGCTAATAACAATAAAAAAAAAAACATGTTTTTAAATGCTATAGAGACATACACACACAGAATATTATAGTATTTTATAGTATAGTATGTATAGTACATATTGTATAGTATTTAGCTAATATAAAATAGAATGTGGTTTTAATTAGTTAGAGTTCTTACCTTCGAGACAGACAATGAGAAGAGAGTTGGACCATACGTAGTAACTTCCTTTTTTTTTTTTTACTTTTCTTTTTTTTTCTTTTGTTGCTTTTTTTCAATTTGTATTCTCCCTTTAGCGGGCACCACACTCATATATTTATATATATTTTTTATATATTTCACATATTTATTGACAATTTCATGCTTTATTTACATGGTCATCGCGCGTTTCTTCTTTTCACTACCATCCTTACCACTCGGTCACCTAGTGTCGGCGTCCGTAAGCGCGTTCGTATCTCGAATCTTTACTCGTATCTCGAAGCCCAAAACCGCTCCAAGGCCTGTTCGTATCTCGAGGTTCCACTGTATATAGGGCTATGATTATCTTGGTCATTTTAGACTTGTTCGACTAAATGAATTATATAAAAAAAGATGAAGTCCAGTACCTTTATATTATATCGGTTCTGTCCTAATTACCTAAGAAACGAGATACACGCTCAAGTCCGTCGGCTCTGACCGCGTTTTACATTGGTGCAATATCGTAGCCCATGATTTCTGGAAACATATAAATATGTAAACTAGCGATAACTACACAAGAACTGCTGAGAAATATTTCGATGATTGTTTCTGTCATGTTATGTCATGCTTCGAGGCTGAGACATGAATAGACTATCAACGTAAAACTTTGAAATGAACTTGAAAATTAAGCATTTGGATGATAATATTTGAGAGATGCTGCAGTTGCTCCAAAAAAATATTAGACTAAAATATGAAATATGCAAATTCTGATATTCTTATACGCCCAAAACGGAGCAAACTAATGGACAAGTTAGCTTACCGATTTAAGACGACATGTCATGTCATCATTAGTAATTGAGCTTTGATACGCTAACTTTGTTTGCAAACTTTTCATTTGACTTTTTTATTTATTTTTGTTTGTTTTTAACATGGTAGAAGACACTGAATATAATTCAATTTTTAACAAAATTAAATAAATATTCATTTGAACTTCATTGCTCCCACAATTAGGAAGTTGTGTTAACAGCAAATCTGCTGCGACAGGTGGCCTCCCCTTGGACGTGCCAAGTATGTGGTTCCTAAGGGATCGAACCCATGACTCTCTGCTTGTGAGTCAAGCGTGTCAACCACTACACTAGTGGACCACATATACACATATTAGAGAAATGATGGGTGGTTAGATGATGGTATTATAGGGTATACGGTACATGTCATTCTGTCAGATTAATCTTCATTTAATTCGTGCTATCAATGCATTCACTTCAACAGTCCTGGTTGTTTCTATAAGATCATTTTATAAAAATTAGCACAGTGCTAAAAGATCTATTTCAGAACCACTAAAGCAAAGGTTTCCAAAGTGGGGGCCACGCCCCCTAAGGGGGTCCTCTGTGCTATTCCAGGAAGGGTGTGGATGGAACGAATTTAATGAAATGTAACACAGTTTATCGCCCAGTGCTATAATGTTTAACACGAAACCGGCAAAAAAAAAAAAATTCCTCCCAAAGGAGGGCCCAGCAGAGAAAGTTTGGGAACCACTGCACTATATGAAAATATAGGCTGATGGTCTGCCTGTTGGGCATTGCTGCCTGACGCACCTCCATCAGTGCCTTAACCACTGTATTAAAGTATAGATGATGATAGAGTTCTGTAAGTAGGTCACAAAAATACAAAGCAGGCGTAGCTGACCGTAGGGAAACTCTTGCAGATCATAATCTTTTTTTTGCATATTTCACGTATCGTTATCAGACGCTGTCTGCTCTGACACACAAAAAACAAACATACGAATTGAACCTAACAAAAGCAGCAGTCTGTCTGAACGTATAAATGACTTCAAGGGGAAAGGAAATGATTGAAATGAGAAGTTTCTTTTATCCATTTCAGTTATTGGGCACTTAAGTCAACACACAGAGAAAAGCTGTTACCAGTCATGACAGTGACGACTTTCCTGATACAGTGGAACCTCGAGATACGAGCGTCCCGACATATGAGTATTCCGAGATACGAGCAGGCCTTCAAGCTAATTTTTGCTTTGAGATACGAGTAAAGATGCTAGGTGATGGGCTCTCTTCCCTGATTGATTTTTTTTTCCTGTTATTTCTTGTGGGAAAAATGATTCGAGATACGAACACCTTGAGTTACGAGCTCAGTCCTGGAACGGATTATACACAAATTCTCACTCCTGTCAACTGACCAAAGTTGGCATTGCTATCGTTAAATGTGCGTTAAACGTGCGTTTAAACAGTTACAGTTAAAAATGTGTGAAATAAACAGGTCACGAAACAAAATACTGTATGTGTATGTGTCCTGTTCTTTTTTTTTTTTTTTGTGAGGATGGGTGAAAACTTTCCTATGAACCAAAGGATGGGCCCAGTAGAGAAAGTTTTGGAACCACTGGCTTAGGTAAAAGATAGGAGTAGTATTTCAAATTACCTAAAAGACATAGTTTGTAGAAAAATGTATAATAAAGTCCAGAAAAATTGATAACATTAAATGGAAAGACAAAGCGCAAAATATATATGGTATATAAAAAAATCCCAAACCATATGTAGCTGTGTGCAGGACAGGGGTTTGGATTTACTGTTTTTGCAAAACTAGTAGGCTATACCTTTAAGACACACAGAGAACTCACAGATGTTATATTGGCAGCAGCAACCATTCTCCTGTTTCTGACCAATGTTTTGCACAGGATGACTGTTAGCAAGGCGACCACAAATACAGCCAGATCTGGACACAGCAGGCGGACAACGCTCCAAGGATCCTCCAGTGGAAGCCTACAACACAGACAATCAACGACAGAAACGTTTTCAGTAAAAAATAAAATAATAATACCCAGTAAAAGGGACAAGTCAAAAATGATTCTTCGATCTAATATTATTATACAAGTCAGGGGTAATGATGATGTCATTTGTGAGCGATTCGTTCAATTCCATGCAGTACCTTCTCTCGCCACATGGAGCTGCATGAGCTCAGTTAGCAGGACCAGAAACAGAAACGATTAGTTCACGTAATGCGTCGTTCATGCGAGTTCAATATGAACAAATGTTTCATATGACTCAGGAGTAAATGATTCCTCTCAGTGAGCGATTTGTTCATTTTCATGTAGTACCTTCTCTCGCCACATGGCAGGCGGCTGCATAAGCTCAGTCTTTCATTTTGTTTGGTTCTATTTAACTTTATTTTGATTTAGCTTTTGCTATTTCACTTCATTTATGTCCCTTAGATGTGTACAGTGTTGTGTATCAAATGTAAAAACAAAGCGTGTTTATAAATAAATACCTTTGTAAAATTACATATTTATTGTATTATACTCTGCCATATAATAATAATAAAAACAACAAATACAACAACAAAAATAATAATAATAATATTACATTTTAAACACAATAAATGCAGCATGTAAACATTTTAGGGAACATTAATTATTCTCGTTTTCTCGTTATTATCATTATAGAGCAATGGTGCCCAACCCCCGGCCCCAGACCAGTACCGGTCCATGGGTCAATTGATATTGGGCCGCACAGGTAAAAAAATGCCTAACTTATTTATCACCTGATTCTGAACAATGTTTTATTTTGAAAAATGACTGCATTATCTTCACCGCATACAATAAATGTAGTTTTGTTCCATTTGGCAGAACCTTTGAGATGATCTTATCTGTTCATTAGGCTTAACAAACATGAGTTACATACCTGGATACACCTATATGCCTGGTTACGGTGTTCCATTGTGAGCAGTTGTCACCTATGGCATCGCTGAGAGGAGGATAAGTGTACAGAATAGTCTGGAAGCACACATGTGCCAGCAAAAACAACAGGCTGGTACATAATACTGCTTGGATAAAATGCCCAGTGTGCCCTGAAAGACAAAGAGAGAAACAAGAGACAACGAGTTAATGAGAACACAAAATGTTTTATTTTATGTGGAATAGGCTAATGTAATTTTCCGATCTTGTCTTATCGAATAGCATTAAATTATAATATTTTATGTGGAATACGCTAATGCAATTTTCTGATCTTGTCTTATCGAATAGCATTAAATCAATAAAACACAAACAAGAGTAACGAGACAACCTGAACAGTGGATAGAGGTAGACTGTAGTAGTAGTAGTAGTAGTGGTAGTGGTATTTAAGTAGATAGTTATGGTTGTTTCTAAAGGGCGCATTGGAATGATTTTGATATTTTTAGGCCATAATATGAAATAGGTTACCAACGAAATAATTTGACTGCACATGCAAAGAGATTCATTTGACTTTACAAAACAAGTTTTGTTTAATATGAATAACTGAAGGAAACAACCAAAATGCCTGAAGGAGCAGTACCGCGGGTCATGTCTCCTAGCTGCTGTGGTAGAAGTGGACGTATTCACTTTCAATTTTCCAATTTCTAGTCAAAGTATTAAAGTATTTTCATATATAGGTATAAAACGTAAATATGGTTTTAATGGCCTTTCATTAGTTGCAAATAAAACTCCAGTCAACTGATTAAATCAAATATTCATGTTACTATTGTCTATTAAAAAGATCACAAGAACAAAACATTGAGTGCCCTTTTACCAATGAATCAAGACAAATAAATGACTCATACTATTGTATACATCTGAACAGAGTCTGATGTTAATAAAAGGGCCTGTGAATATCAATAGCGTGTTTTTCTACATGCATGCATCCAGTGTCAGTTTGCTCCGTCAGTAGCCTAACTAGTTTTCGGGAGAGACAAACCATGACCTGACGAACGTTTAGGCAGCACAAAAAATCCTGGACAATGCTAGAATCCTGGACGGACGCATTTTCTAAATGGCCAAAAAGAGGATGTCCATGGAAAAAAGAGGATGTCTAGTCCCGCTAGCAAGCTATGATAGCGTACAGCTAGCATAACATAGTTAGCATAGTTAGCCGAACACAAATGTGTTCGGCTAAATTAGTTAACTTGTTAGTGAACTTAGGGAACATTCATTATTCTCGTTTCAGTGGCCAAATATTTGGTGCATTCCTAGTTATTAAGTAAGATAGATCCTTTATTATCATTATAGAGCAGAGGTGCCCAACCCCCAGGCCCCAGACCAGTACCGGTCCATGGGTCAATTGATATTGGGCCGCACAGGAAAAAATGCCTAACTTATTTATCATCTGATTCTGAACAATGTTTTATTTTGAAAAATGACTGCATTCAAAAAAGAGGATGTCTAGTCCCGCAAGCAAGCGATGCTAGCGTACAGCTAGCATAACATAGTTAGCATAGTTAGCCGAACACAAATGATGTGTTCGGCTAAATTAGTTCACTTGTTAGTTAACTAATTTAGCCGAACACATCATTTGTTACATGCACATCATATACATAGCATACAATGTACAATAAATAACGTAAACACAAGGATGAGGATGAAGCATCAGTGTGAAAGTTTGGGAACCAATGAAGTAGCACAGGCTTGGGCAAACTAAGGCCCGGGGGCCGTATGTTGCCCGTTCATCTTTTTAATCCAGCCTACCAAACTTTTCCAAATTATATAATTTACATGCACATCATATACATAGCATACAATGTACAATAAATAACGTAAACACAAGGATGAGGATGAAGCATCAGTGTGAAAGTTTGGGAACCAATGAAGTAGCACAGGCTTGGGCAAACTAAGGCCCGGGGGCCGTATGTTGCCCGTTCATCTTTTTAATCCAGCCTACCAAACTTTTCCAAATTATATAATTTATTCATATTTTCATTATACTTCTGCCTTTTCCATGCCATACCCATGTATGAAGAAAAGCATTTTAGCATTTATGCATGACTTTTACATGTCATTTATCTTAGTTCACACAATTTTAGGACAATTGTGGCCCGCGAGTCAAAAAGTTGGACTAGCACATTACTTATACTCTGAGGAGAAGCAAGCAATGACTTAGTAGTTTTATGCAAACTGAGAGGACTTCATGTTGTTACTCCATGACAAAAACATTCCGTAACATTTCTATACTGTTTCACCTGTTCCTTACAACATGCTCTCTGTCAGAAACCAGACTAAATTCCAAAAGGATACCACCGCAAACATAACAGGTCTTCTCACACCCAAATTCACTGAACTCAACAATAAAGCCAAAATATCTCACACGTTTTCACACACAATTCGCTCCACAAAGCAGGAACTTGAACTCGTTTTGGAAAAAGCCTCATTCCTTAGGCCATTGCATTTCTCAACAGCAGACAAACGTTGTTGCTATGTTGTTTTTTTTTTGAAAATAATTTCCACTTAGGTGCAATAAAAATCAAAGGTTTTTCACTTTCACCAGGTACATTTTCAAAACCTCTTTGAACACGTACCGACGCATGACCTCATAAGCAAATGAAGACACAGTCCAAAGTCAGCCTCTGTGCATTAAAGTGTTGCAGGCACCCTCCGTTTGGTTCACCAGAAAAATTTTGCACCCTCACCCCAAGAAAAAAAAACAAAAAAAAAAACAACACACCGAGTGGTGCTTCTACTGCTACTTTGAGCAGCCTGAACAGGCAACAGCTAAAACACAAAACCAAAACCTCTTTGAACACGTACCGACGCATGACCTCATAAGCAAATGAAGACACAGTCCAAAGTCAGCCTCTGTGCATTAAAGTGTTGCAGGCACCCTCCGTTTGGTTCACCAGAAAAATTTTGCACCCTCACCCCAAGAAAAAAAAACAAAAAAAAAAACAACAAACCCAGTGGGCTACTTTGAGCAGCCTGAACAGGCAACAGCTAAAACACAAAACAATTAAAAATAACGGCCTCCTTTGTAATATTATCAGATAATTCCATCCATCCATCCATTTTCATCCGCTTATCCGTTACCGGGTCGCGGGGGCAGCAGTCGCCACCCAAATCACAATGCACCGTACCAACCCCCCTGAACCTTCCTGCGGGTGGTGAGTCCACTTTAAGGTACCAACCGCCCTAACCGGGATTCGAACTTGCCCAGGAGGTGAACCCTGGGGTTCCACACCAATGACAAAGACCTTGCCTCTGGGCCAAAGCGCCACCTATCAGATAGTTATATTACTACATTCCCATATTCAGTTAATACTTTTTTTGACAGTCTCTTGGTAAACATTTACAGCATTGGACAATATGCTGCATTACATTTCATTAATTCAATGAGAAAATGAGCTTTGAGCTTTATTCGCAGGTTGGCATTGGGTGCTCCCTTAGAAATAGGGTGAGGAGCTCTGTCACCTGAGAGGAGTTCGGAGTAGAGCCGCTGAGTGAGAGGAGTTAGCTGAGGTGGCATGGGGGGGCATTTACATCGTATGACCCCGTACGCCGTCCTCAAGTCTGGGTGTCCCTGTCCCTGTTCCCACAGTTTTTCCGGTATGGATGTTTCCCCCGATAAATCTTTCCTCACTCGGTTTCTCAGTGCCCAGCCTTATTGCCGTTTAAATTGACGTACGTTTGCCGCAATGTGCATTTGTATGCGAGTGAGGGAGTCATTTATCGAACCTGTGTCCACGTTGTAGGGGTTGGGTCTTTTAACCTTTTTATCTTTACAACACTTTGTGCTACATTTATTTTATGAAGTTTTTGCACCAGCAACGCCTGACTACAATAAACACAAAGCACACGTGAAATCAGGGTTAGATTTCCAATCAGATTCTTACAAAACGATCGCTTCTGGTTATGTTAATCAGGAAAAAAAAGGCCCATGCCAGAATGTTAACAGTTTCCAAATCAGAAGATACCACAATCATCTTCATATTGATTCTGTCTACAACATAGAGTCACGTATTGGATGCAACTGTATTTAGGACCACAAATGAATATTTGGATGGAGGCCAGTTGTTGAGTAAACCCAGACTCTGACGCTGAACTGTCTCTTGATTCCCCATGCAGCCCAACAATGCTGCTTCCCATTAGACCCACGGATTTTTTCCCCCCCTCTTTTTTCCATTTACACAACTCTGTAATGTGCATGTGTGTCAGTGTGTTGGGGGGGTGTGTGTCTGTGTGTGTCCATATCTTGGCAGGCAAGCAGGTTTTCCATTTTGGGGGAACTCCCCTCTACTCACTTTGCTACAAGCCTCCAAATTAACTTAAACTGAACTTACCAAAAGATAAAATGCCTCCCAACACATTTCTATCCTAAAAGTGTAGACAGGACTTCAAATGATCAATGGGTTTTGTCCCACTCACAACTAAGAATCACAACGCCAGTTGGCAAATCAGCATATTTGATGTCAACATTGTGGAACATATTACAGAAAACGACACCATCCCACACAGTTGGGACTTTCACAAAGAATAGTAGTGTTCTCTGCACTTGTGTTTCACTCGTGTAATTCTCTACAGGCTCTTTGTTACGAGGCCAGGACATGGCACTGCATATTGAGAGTTGGAAATGATAGGGTAATGTAAATAACAAGGACATGTAGAAACTACAGCACAGATTAGATTAGATTGGGCAAACTAAGGCCCGGGGGACGGATGCAGCCCGTTTAGCTTTCTAACTTTTCCAAATGATATAATTTGTCTATATCTTTATTTATCATCATATACTTTACCCACGTTTCCCCCAATAGATGGCATAGAAAATGATAAAACGTATTTTAGCATTTACCCTTAATGCATGACATCTACATGTCATTTATCTTAGTTCACACCAACGCTCTATCCATCTGCTTCTCACCCGGCCCCACTGTCAAATTTTAGGACAAATTTTGGCCCGCGAGTCAAAAAGTTTGCCCACGTCTGGATTAGATACAAGAAAAACTGACACCCTTATTATGTTTTTCATTATTTTTTATTTATTTTAATTATTTTATTCATTCGTTGGGTGCTCATGTCACTACACTATTATGACATGCTAGGCCACTAGGTGGCGCATCGCATTTGTGGTAGAATGGGATTTACACGAACAGGGGAGGAATAAATCCTGCTGCCATGATAACGCCAGCGAGACGTGTATCTCCATTATTCGTACCACAGGTCAGTAAATATAAACTGAATCAGGTATACGGTACATACGATATGCTATGAGTTGAATATGTGATTAAGTAATTAGCTTAAGTGGCTAATGCTAGGCGAACCTGTATCGTGGCGAGTGAAGAAAATTGATGCACTTAATGTATGCCGATGTTTATTTTGGAAACTGTTTCATGCCATATGTCATTTTTATTTGTTTTATAAGTTTTATTTGTACACAAATTGACATTTTTTATTATTGCCAAAACCAGGAAAACAATATTCCCGAGTTACATTGTGGTATAATTGACTGTAAGAAGAATGTAGTTACTATAGCTCAACTCTTTGAGAAAAGGTGTTTCACAAAAGTTGACTAGATAGATTCATGATCGGCTCAAGAGAACATAGA